CACTGGCCTGCCATTTAGTTTTCACGTTCAGATCTCCCTGTTTGCCAAAGGGAAAGTGTTGAATGGGGAGGGGAGCTGCTCCCTGAAAGCTCTTGTGTTTCACACGGTAGCTTACAGTCGTCTCTGAAGAAAGAGAAATGCCACACTGGAGAAACAGTGATACATTTGTTTTCAACTTTAGGGGCTGAAGTTAAATTAAGTGTAAATGTATTGCAAGCAATGAAATAGATTTGCTTACTAATCTGGATTGCGTTTCCTTTTTCTCCCTCCTCATCATGAAACTAGCAGTACCAGTAACTGCGCCTGTGTCGCCTCTTCCTCCCTTTCCTGCTTGCAGCGCAATCCTGCCATGCTCCTGCAGGAGAATTTCCCAGGGGGCTGGCCTGCAGCAGGAGGAAACAGAGGTCAAGACAGCAAGGAAAGAGATGAGGAACATGGGAACTGGGAGAAAGACAGCAGTGACTTGAGATCCAGGAGAAATGTGCTTGCTGTTCTTTAAACGACTTCTCTCAGCCTTTCCCCAAAAAAGGGCATTAGGGCCTGCTTCTGCATTGCAAAGGGAATTTGAGCTGAGCAAGGAAGGCTGGCTCAGCCGGTCTCTGTGGGTGAGGTGGAGGGAGGGAAATGTTTGGTGTCAGCAGAGAAAGATCCCTTTTTTATTAGGTAATTCTGTCGCCTTCCCAGTTTACCCTGTCTGTCACTTCCCTGACCCTTCCGTTTCCTTTGGAGCCTTCCCTCCAAAGGTAACCTGCCTTAACCTATATGCTCCTGCTTCTCTTCAGTCTGTGCAGCACAGTTACTGCTAAAGAGTATTAAACCATGCTGTTAACTCTCTCCTGCTATCAAATTAACTTGTTACCAGGGGTTTTAAACATGCCTTTTTCATCAGGAGAAATAAAAATAGTACAAATACGTTATTTTGCCTTCAGAATGACATGTGGCATCATTTCTTATCTATTGATTTAAATAATTTAGCAATTTAAGAGGAACTAATCAACTTAATTTATTTAGGGGATACTTAAAGGTTGAGAACAATTTTATATCAATTAAAATTAGCAATAATTGATTTATGATGGAACTAATATAATTAATTAGGTGGTTGCTGCTTATCTTTTTTCTAATACATAGATAGCTTTTAAACTTCTGCTCAATAGTCCATTGTGATAGCATGAGAATTATTTTATGTGAGAGCAATAGAGAAGTGGATGCTTCCTGATGACAACTTCCCAGTTTGTTTAGGGAACATTCAGTTGAGTCTTGGATTCACAGTGTTAGCTTGAAACATGGCAAGTGTGCAAGTAAATTTGCAAAGCAGAAACAAGAAATTGAGAAATCAAATTACTTCATGGAATTGTTAGTGATTGCAATTTGGTGAAACCCTCTTTTTTGTTAATGTTTTAATTTATTTTTTTAACACAGGTATGTTTGTTTTGTCTTTACAAGATTTAAGCAAAATTATGAAATTGTTTTGTGATATGTGTGTGTGTATATGTATGAATGTTTTGCAGCAGTTATGAAATCTTCTGAAGTTAAAATTGATTTCATTATTGTCTATTGCAATAACTAAAATTCAGCATTAGCTCAAAACGAGTTAGAACAACAGTATACATAAAAAAGAAACTAGAACGATTACTTGAAGAAAAAATTTAAATAGGTTATCATAGGATATATAAAAATAAAATTGTGTGTTTTTTCTAAATAAGTTTTTAATAAGTTACACCTGCTTTATCACGTATTTATGGCTTTATCAGTAGTTGTTAAAGAGTGAAAAATAAATCTCTTCTTTTGGGCTGATATAAAACTCTCTGAGGCTCCATGGCTTTATTCAGGCATGCATAGATTTTTAGATGTTCCAAAGATTGCCCGAAATGACTGTACTCATTTTATTCATCTCATCAGCAAAGTTCATCTCATCAGCTAGAGCAATAACATCAAAACTTTTAGGCCAAAATGTACTTTCCCTGTATAAATACTGTGCATCGTACTTACAGAAACTGAAGTACAGGATTACACATCAGTGCTGTATCTTTTGATGTAACAAATAGAAACTGCTGTTTACTGAAAGAAAAGGGAATTATAGGTAGCCCTAAGAAGGATTCATCTGTCTGCCTTTATATGCAGATCACAAATACAATGCGCCCACTCGTCACTAGAAACAGCAGAAAAAGAGATCCGAGTATCAGAAACTTATTTTGAATAAGCATAGAAACTGTAGTAGACTGAATCGAAGTCCATCTTGTTACAGAGCAGAATGCCAGTTTCAAAGCTTCCTTGAGCTTTGCGTTCAGTTGAATGCTTGATTTCAGAAACTGCCTAAACTATCAGCCAGAAAAATCCAGGATAATGCGAAATAAATGTGTCCAAACATATTCTGCCTCTCCAAAAGAGTAGAGCAGTAAAGCTGCCTTCTTCCCTTCTCTGCAGCCTCTTCTGCTATCAGACTATATAAATCTTCTGGGAAGGCTGCTTGTGGATAAAATCGCCTATCTCTGGAAGTAATGAAATGTTTTGTGAAGTACCTCAGCATCTAATGTATGTCTGGTAATGGCAGAAATTCTTAAGAATCCTCAGTGGCTGTCTCAGGGAACAATGAAATTAGAAAGTCTGTCCTTTGCTTTCCTTTTCTTGATCCAGCAAATGAAGATGTAAGTTGCTTACCAGCTGAAATTTGTGCTAACCCAGTAAGTTGAGTTCTTAATGATTAAGTTGTTCCTAGCTTAATTTATGACTTTCTGAGATAGTAAGTAGGGTTTCTATAATGTATTTTTTCCCTAGGGGAGTACAGGTTTGAGTATTTCATTTTTGAGTGAGTATTAACTTCTTTTCCTAAGTATTTGGAAGTAATAAAGAATATGACTTCTTTATCGTTCAGTCTAAAACAGTTGTATATTATATACCAGTATTTATGCGAGAGGTGTGCAGTCATTTTACCCTTATATACAGAAAGCAGGAAAGAGAAGTATGTGTATACATACAACTTTTTTTCTAGAACAGTAGTATTTAATACATGAACAAGTAGTCTTGCCATTTCCAGTAGAAGTACTGTTTAGGGCCAGGTAAGATAGTGACTAAGCAATAGACAAGGCCATAATATCTGATGAAACATTAACGTGTGTAAAGCAGTACGATTTTGATTCCAAGAGGTTGATCTGAAAGGGTTCTGTAAATTTTAATGTAGATTCAGTTCTGAATATGGACTCTTTCACACCTCTAAAATTTGAAAGCCAATCTGCAGTTGTTTTTTGTTTTCTTTTCTTATAGGCTGCTGCCATTCTTTCTTTTACTGTTCTCACTAAAGCATTGAAAATGGATCCATTTTAAAGAAAGTTCAGCTTACTATAAAGAAGAAATTTCTATTTTCCTTGGGAGATTTTTTTTAATTTGAATTTCGTATCTGATTAGAGGGTATGACACGTGTGAGGAGGAAAAGAACTTGCTTTCTTAGTTCGTTACACTTTTACATGGACATAGCATGCCTAACTTTACCAAGCTTATGCAGATACAGCAATCATTTTTATCCTTTCTGGCATATTGTCTTTACTATCCCTTCATAGACAGTTTTTAAAACTAGGTTAACACAGAGAGCACTTTCTTTAATATTCCCTTTCAGTGCTTTAGATGTCTGTTTAGATACCTGTTTCCTGATAAGCTGAAATCAACCATTCCTACAACTGCCCTGAATTTCCCAGAAGCCTTCTGTTCGGTGAGCGTCTGTGATCTGCTCATTTAATGTCCAAAAATGTATTTACAGTACCTTGGTCTGTAGCTTCCCAAGGTCTGGGATTTCCATCTGTGTTCTATCCATGTGCCTTAACAGCATCTAGTTGTCTAATACACTGAATTTGGGGGAAATCACTTTTATGTGGGCTATCAAAAAAATTGAAAGTATTTTGTGTGTCATTACTGTTACAGTTTATCAGTTCTTATATCTCTTCATAGATCAATTTATTGCTGAGTTAAGAATGTGAGATAAAAATGCAAAAGAGTTTTAAATTTTTTGTGTGTTAAACCAGCATAATGTTCAAAGGATGCTGGTTCTTCTTTTCTGTTCAGTCTTTTTTATTTTGCTTGGACAGAGACAGTAAGCCAGTATTCATAGTTGCTTGGCAATAGTCAAGTTGTGAAATGCACACCCAACCTGTGGGGCATTATGGTTGCTTAGTTCATGCATGTAAATTTGATGGTTTGAAAACTGAACAAGTCCACACCCATAGTGTCTTCTTGGAAAGTTTGTTCTAACATTTAATCTTCCTGGCATTATTAATTTAATGGTTCCATTTTCAGAGATGTGAGTATCAACAGTTTTTAGAAAAATGAAAACAACTGGGTGCTTAATTTGAATTGTTAGGAAATTTATGCTGCAATTGGGGTATATCTCAATGCAATAAGTTCAATTTTTTCTGATTTATTTCAAATCTACAATAAACTTTACTTACTTTACATCTGAAGTATACATTAATAGCAAAAAAATGTCTGAGTTTTGGAAGTATTGTAGCAAAAACAACCTCTGGCAAAAAGTGTTTAAAGAAAGTAGAACAGAGAATTTCTGGTGGATACATTTGGTTTGTCTTTTGGCAAGCGAAAGCAGATTGTTTAAGGATACACTTTTAAAATGATCTATTCTAAAGGTAATGAGGAGAAATGCAGCTGTAGTCACCTTACTGTACCAGTTATCATGTCATAAAAATTTTAGAGAGCTTTTGTCTTTTGCTTACAAAAGCAGCCTGCACTTAGAAAGGCCTCAATTCTGCAACTGCTTACACACAATTCACAGTTTGTGGAAATAAGTCTTTAAGATGCCATTGTAAGTTTTGGACTTTTGTGATTTTCTTGATAATATTGAAAAATTCCTTTTGGAATTTAAATTAGTGCTGTGAAAGGGGTGATTGCCATTATTTCTGTTCTGTATATTTATTGAGTTTATTACAATAGTAGTAATTACTTTTCCCTTGATAAATACAAAAGTTGATTTATTACTGTGTTCGTGTTTGTTGTTTTAGGAGTCTTTGGATGATTCTCAAATAGCTGAAGTTTGTGCAACAGAAGTGATCCGCTATGAGTATCATGTCTTGTACTCCAGCAGCTACCAAGTACCTGTGCTTTATTTTAGGGCATGCTTTTTAGGTAAGACCAATCTTCTATTAGACAAAGGGAAGAATAAAAATATGCTGGATGCAATAGAGTTAAAACCACAGATTTAGTATTAAACTGAGGAATAGAGTAATGATCCTATGTAATAAGAAAGTAAGATGTGAGGCAGTTCCCCGGTAAATTTTATCATACGCCTGACACATAGCTGCAGGACCCTGGAGTAGATGATACCATCTCAGCCTGAAGGAGGCTGATATTTGGCTCCTGGCATCTTGCCTGTGGTTGACTAGAACTGCTGGTCATTTTTCTTGTTCTTTTCTTTAAATGAACACAAAAACTTAAAGCTGCAAGTTTGAATTTGGCTACAAAATAAGTGGACATAATTACAGTGCTTTAGCAGAACTGTGTCTGTTTCTTTGGAGCCTGAATTTGAGCCACAAGGCTGAGGTCTAAATGTATGTTTAAAAGTGTATGCTGTCTCTTATTTAAATTTGCTGCTTTAAAAAACAAAACAAAACAAAAGAACAAACAATAAGGTACTGCGTTTTTCTATTAAAACTGGCTCTTGAAACACTACTTGATCTTCATTGCTCCCTGGTACGTACATGTTGTTAACCTATTACTCTACTGCTATAGTCACTGTGATTTTGCTCACCATCCTGTCAGGAAGGAAGGAGGAATACAGAGCCTCCCTTCAAGGCTGCTGTTAGTGTCACTTATTTAATCAGCAACCATAGAGTGATCACACTGCAGCACTGGCTGTGCTCTATTCCTTTCTGCCTGAAGACTGTGTACCTAGGGCAGAGGGATTGAAATCTTCAAATCATTTTATTCAGTCTCCTGCATGGTAGCATCAACATCTTTTGTGTTTTGAATAATCTCCTAACTTTATCTAGATAAAGATGTCTGAATGTTGCCAGTGATATCTTTTCCTTTTTAATTAAAAAGTAGCTTAAGCTGATTTGAATGTGTTTGGTAGATTTAATCACTCTCTGCCTTATATTGTTTAATGGTTTCTAATTTTGCAGTGTTAGCGTTTTAAAAGGCACTTTAGATTTAAAATTGAAGAACAAATTCTCATAGTCTCCCTGGTGGAAAGATCTTAGTCTGAGGTGCAGTTTCAGGAATGGATAATTTGGGGTAAATTTTCAGACTGGGACGTGGGGAATTGGGGACATTGCTCTGCCTTTACCACCAACTGAACTCATTTGCACACATCCTGCTGCAAATTTATTTCTAGAATTATTAAGGGCGTTTACAAATGTGCAATGTTTTGCCTTTAAACTTACTGTGCAGACAGGAAGGTAAAGAAAGTTCTGCTGTAAGACACAGATTAACCTATTTGTGGTCTTGAAAAATGTCAACTTCTTGGTTTTAACTGAATTAATAGTGCACTGTCTCTACAGAAGAGGATGGAGATGCTGCAGGTAGAGGAAATAGGACACTATTTCTACTGTACTGTACTTTCATATAATTAGTATTCACCATAAGCAGTTAATCACCAGAGAAGAGCTCCCAGAGACAAAACAAGTTGTTTAGCTTGTCAGCATCAGGGAATCGGAGGTGTTGAAACATAACTCCTTATATCTGGAAGTGGATATTACAGAAGCTAGTGGATGATCTAATGCACAATCATAGTATTATGTGCCAACAGCTCCCCTTGCAGTACAAAACTGTAATTGTTCCTACAAGTACAATTATGTTTTGAAACACTTCTTGGAAACCTTTGACAGTGGAAAATGGACTTTTTTTAGATAATTCCTAAAGTCATCTGGGTTCTCTTCAGCATTTAACATTCTCTTTTAACATTTAACATTCTCTGACTCTTGAAGAGAGGCGGGTACCAAATGCTGGCCATAGGTAATTATCCAATAATGTTTTCAGCTAGTATTCTCTGATTTTCTTTATGGATGGCTTACTTTTGAAAATGAAGAATTCTGTCATCCCTGCCTGTGCCACGCTGTCTGAAAGTCCCAGCATGAGGCTTTCAGGAATGTGCAGATAACAGTCACACAATCACTTGAGATACCTGAGCAAAGTATCTGTTGTCTTGTCCCGAACCTGGTACGAGGAAAACTCTAGAATGCCCTGAGATTTTTTTTCCTTTGAGGTAATAGTCTTTGTGTGATAGGCTCCTCACCTTCTCAGACAACTAGTGATACTCACTGCATTCCTCATCAGAAATCAGGGAAGAATCTTGTGAGACCTACCTCAATTTCCCAGTCTAAATTCCTACCATTATTTGTAGATTAAGTAACAGAATCAGTTCCTTACAAGTCTCTTGTGAGCTGTTCATGGTTTCCCTTGAATCCTGTCCATACTGATCCTTGTGTTAATTACAGCGCATTGCAGGAGGTGAAGGTGAGCTATAATCCTTCCAGTGTTTCCACAGCCTTGCCCTGTCTTGCCTTCCCCAGCAGCAGGGCACAGAGTTTGAATTCAAAACTCTGCTTCCTCTCTGGCAGTATGTTAAGTGGCCATTATACCTTGAGGCCTGCCTAGGAAATGATAATTCTTCTGTTCGACCTGACTAAGTAGTTTTGCTTATTCACTTCCTCACCTAGTATAATAGTATTTGGTGCCAGCCTGTCCAAATCTGCGCTCTTCCAAATAGACTCTTTAAAACCTTTTATAGAACAAATAAATCCTGCCTTTCTCCCATTGTATGTGAGTCCACTTTTCATTGACTTGGTCTCTCGCATTCCCTCCTAGGAAAAAGGCTTCCAATAGAGCTGCTGGGGAGGTTTTCCTGTCATCTTCAGCATGGTTGGCATCTTCAGGAGCTTGTGTCACTGAGGATGTCTGGTTTTCAGTCCTCTCTGCTAGCTGAAACATTACGGATCAGTTCTTCCTGCAGAGGGGCAAAAATTGCATTGTATCCTTATCTTTGCTGCTATCTAAATTGGATGAGTAACTAATTTTCTGAAATTCATCTTTAGACCTCTGTTTTTTTTGTGAGATGAAGTTTGATTTGTAAGGTAGTGCAAGGTAAGGGTTTGAAATTTTAATTGTAACAGCTAAAACATTTTGAGAGACAGCTAAACTTTTTGGTAGTCTTGGGATAGATTTACAGGGAAGATCTCATTCTATAGAAGGACAAATACTTCAGCTGAAAGTAGTGATTAATTGTCATGACTGTCTGGAAAGATGTTTGGGAGCATTATAGGATGTAAGAAGATGTTTTTAGGCTACATATATATACATAAGAAACATTTTTCAGTACCTTATAATGCGTCTCACATGGCACATATTCCTAAATTCAGACCTACTGAGTCCCCTTTGTATTAGGAGCTCAAGGCAATGGTACCTCAGAGTCTCAGAGAACTAGGTGTCAGTTCTCCAAAATCAGTCTTAGCGCATGCTATAACTTTCAGAAATGGGAGCCCTTCTTTCTTTCTCTGGCTTCTGAGATTACCAAATAGGTAGTTAAAGAAATGCATGAACCCCTGCTGATATCTGATGTCAGCAATTAGCCCTCTTAGAGACAGATGGTATAGGCAATTAGCCTTCCCCTTCAATGCTGGCATTAGCCAGATGGGCTGGGCTAGGTCCAGTAAGCTTTCTTTAATCAGCAGAGTATTTTTCCCTTTTCTTACTCTTTAAGATGTCAAGGAACCTTGGTCTTTCCCTGAACTGCCATCTTCTGAAGCTATACATTCAAAAACCTTTTGCAGTGACAGTGAGGTAGCAGCAGCACAATCACAGGTGGGCGCAGGCATCATTCAGGAATCACCCTGCATGTTAAGAAAATTATGGCTTATCTCACACTTCTTTTCTTATTTTTCCCACAAATGTAGAGGAAAAATTATGAATGCTGGCTAAGCACTGAAAAGAGCAGAACTAGTGGGAGCCAATAAGGACTGCAGCCTAACTCCTGTGGAAAAGAGAGAAGGAACTGGATTTTCAAATATGTCTAGCTCTCTGACATGGAGATAGATAGAGCCCTGCCAACAAAAAAAACGTGATACTCAGTGGTTAGAGAGAGCAAGCTTGTAAGATAACGTGACTTCCTCTAACCCTGAAGGCATGACTTTCTGTATTCATAACCACACTGGACCTGACTGATCCACTTTCCAGAATAACGGAATGTTACGTACAGACTTACTTCCTGAGCTCAGAAGCATGTAACCATTATTTTCTTTCTCAGAAAGATAGCTCCTCTTAAGACCATGTCCCATATGAACTGGTTTTATTGTGGCTTTGGACATAAATGAAATTGAACAATTTGTATAATCAGATATTATCCTCGGCTGTAAGGCTGTTTTTTTCTTTTGTGGCAATAGTTTCTAAGAGTGTTTCTTTGGAAAGTATGCCAGAATGAAGCCTCAAAATAATTTGTTCACCACTTCACCAAAAGTGTCAAATAACCTTTAATTGGAAATCTAAGAAATTGCTAAAATTGCTCAGTAAACATAAGAAAACAGAATACAGCAACTTGGGAAGCCTGAAAATTTTCTCTGAAAATGTGTATGAAATCTGTATGCCTAAAGAATTTCTGCTTTTTGCAGAAACCAAGGTGTCAAAATCAGCTGGGAGCTGCAATTTGTGTGTAGTCTTAATGCCACACCTTGCTGCTGTGACGGGGCACTCAACCGCATGCTTTTTACCTATTTTTTGTTTGTGGTGACATAAAATCCTAGAATCATAGAATCATCAGATTGGAAGAAACCTCTAAGATTATCGAGTCCAACTGTCGACCTAACACCACCATGCCCTCTAAACCATGTCTAGAAGCGCTACATCAACATGATTTTTGAACACCTCCAGGGATGGTGACTCCCATCATTATAAATGAGTTAACCCCAACTGGACCATCAATAAACTTTTCTCATGAAAGTTTGTTATGGTGTAGAGAGTTTAAATAATAAAAATCTGATTTTGTGTTAGAAAGGCTGTAGTTGTTTTTGCCTGACAGTTAAGGCAGATGAACTGGTTGATCTGAGCTCATAGTTAATTAGTGGCAGAGACAGAACCCATACTTAAGAGTTTTTGATGCTATCCTTTATCTCCTTTCTTTTAACAAAATCTTAGTTGGTTACTTCCCAGGCTCTTTTGGCCTTTCTTGCTAGGTAGATACCAAGTTTCTTGTATAAGAGACTGCATTTCACAGAGCCTGGGTTAGTACTGATGAGCTGGTGATATGTCACGTGCCGGATTTGTAACATTACGGGCATGGAGCGTCAGACAAAGGTACAGTAAATCTGGCATGACCTACAAGCAGCTATTCCTTTCACTCTCTGTAATTGTTTAATGAGCTGAGTTATACAAAATGTACATGTAACCACAAACTTCCACTTCTTCTGCACAGCAGCTCCCAGCCGTAGACTTGGGACAATCTGAAAGCATCTCAGCATCTGTGTCATCGTGGGTGGATGATGAGTAAATGTATTGCTGGATGAATCTGAAGCCTCTACCTCCTCTCCTGCCACTTCTCTTGGCTTAGTGCTGCTGTTGCCTTCTTTTTCTGGTTGAACTTTTTGAGTTCAGTTCCATCACAGAATGAGACAAGAAGCTGGGGCTGCTTGGCTCAGCAGGTGCTGCAGTGGCCCCTTGTTGCTAACAGCAACAATTACAGAATGTTCTGTCAGCCCAGCTGGATATTTGAGGTCTTGGTGGGTTGCAAGAATTTATAGCGGGGCTGCTAAACATGTGGATGCTAGCAGCCCTGGAAAAAGGGGTCTGAAAGTGCCCAAAGAATACAGATGTGTGTTTTGTGCAGATCTGGGAGCTTGCGAATGAAATGGTTTCACTTATATTATCCTGAGCAGATGACCAATTTCACACAAACTGAGGAGTTCTAAAATATAAAACACACCTCCAGTGAGATTCGCTGAAATGAGTTGTATCATCCACACTTACCTTCTGACAATGAAACGAGAACAGAACAAAAGGGACTGCAAAACTCTAAACTCTTCTTCTTCCTCGGGTACTTTCTAACAAACAGTCCTTCCATCAGTCATTGTAAGATCTTGTGTAGCTGGGTTTTTTTTTTGTTTGTTTATTTTTTTAATTGAGAGAGAAAACACCAGACTTTCAGGCTTTCATCCCACAGAAGAGGATGTTGCAATTCCCAGCTGACGCTCACCATTTTAAGTATTGATAACTTATTCTTTCCTGCTGCATCTGGCCTCCCATCTTCTAGAAAACTAAGCTAGTCAGTTAAGTAAGAATTTACAGGAACACAATACTTGGGAATGTGTATGAAAGCTTACACAGTTTAACAACCATACAATTCAAAGTCATTTAAAGTTAGTTAAATGTATTAAAATAGTGCAGAAAATTAAAAATATAGGGAAAATTAAAAATGTAGGGAAATGTAAATCCAAGCATATTTCAATATATAAATACAGAATCAGAATGCCCAGATCAATTTTTTGTTCTTATGTGAAACGTTACAATTACTCTGTATTAACTATTGAAGTATTTTACTGTCTGTGATCTTGCTCCACTGTGAAGTGGAACTTTTAGTTTGGATGTATTTGTATTTTTCTCTGAAGTAAAAATAATTCTATACTGAAATATGGAAGATATACTGCTTCTCATACATGAGGTAATAAAATCCATGAGGTAAAGACAAAACTCAGTTTTGACTGTAATGTGATGAATGCTTCAATAACATTTGACCATTTCTGTGATGAGATGAACGGTTAGAGTCAGAGTAATCCATTCCATCTGAATTTGCTCAAGTGTTACTATAAAAATTCAGAGATACAAAGAAAGGTATACTGAACAATATCTAAAGTGGCAAATCAAATTTTGCATTAGAACGTGTGTTGTTCTAGATTTTACATTCAGACTTTCTCTGGATTCTGTCTGCGGGTTGAATAGAAAACAGAAAATTGCAATTGTGCATGGCATCTCCTATTAACTGCACAGAGATGATCTGAGCATAAATACATACTTCTAAAGTTCACTTACGCTCTTGTAACAAATTTCTTAGTAAATGTTAGACCATCTTCAGCACAGCTCTGTTATCTGCCATCATAAGACAGAGGGCATGATGGTCTAACAAGTCTCACATTCATGAGGATGGCATAGTATAGCTAGTTAATATGCTGTTACCCCTCAGACACTTTATTTGCCACATGCTTCTGCTATACTGTGGTTATGTATGTTCAGAACTTGGTGCTTTTTTTATAAATAAGAAATAAGATAAAACAGAGGCTGTAGGCATGGCATGGCATTCAAATGTTAATTGGGTGAATAAATCTCATTCATTTTACAGACATGAAAATGTCAGTAGAATAAAACTATTTATTACAGGATAATTGTTTCTGACACATAATAAATGCCAAGATGAAGCTCCTCATTGAAAGTATATCAAAATGTTCTGTTGCTGTTTGACAAAAACAAATATCCAGGAAAAATCGACATGCTTATTTTGTAAGCAGTTGACACTAATATCTTGGCATAGTTCTAACATCACAACTAAAAGCCTGATGCAACAATGCTATATAAATGCAGCTCAAGAAAAAATTATGGGCATGTAGGTTACCAAAACGCAATAAACTTTTGTCCGCAGAATTTTGTTCCTTAGATTTTTTCCACTCTTTCACTATGAATTGCACGTATTTATGTGAGATAACTTATTTGGTGGTTTTATCTTACCCAAGCATTGCTTTACAAAATTAGTTTAACTTCACGTCTTACAACCAGAACAGTAAGTTGTTAGTCTGAGGTGACAGAGAAGAAAGCTGAACAGGGAATTTAGGGTAGTTTTATATGCACCTTCAGTCATACATCACTTGTTTTGGAGGTATGGGGCCAAAAGGGGCTCAGTCACATTTTGCTATTATTTTTTCCATCTGCTTCCAGATAGTCAGTATTTTCAGATTTACTTTTGCTATTCTGTATTAAAGACATAGAATGATTAAGAGCTTTGACTGTCGATGGTTGTTTCCTCCTGCCCACCACCATAGATGGAAGACCTTTAACTCTGGATGAAATATGGAAAAGTGTTCATGGATGCTACCAGGCTCGTCTGCTGGAGGGGCCCTGGGACACTATTACCCAGCAGGTGAGAAACCACTGATCCTTTACAAAAATTGATAAATGCAATATATTACTGAGTCCTCAATGGCCTCACTGCCCTCCTGGACACAAGGAAAATATATAAAAGTCTTACTGAGGTGTCTCAATCAAATAATAAGTTTTTGCTGACTAACGTCCTAAAGATTCAGTAGTTAATGAATGCTGTGTAGTAAAAGAAGCCAATTAGTAAACTGATATCACTGTCTTCTTCTAGAGCTTTTTAAAATCACCAGATCTTTTCAGCAACCGTTCCCAGACTTGTGATGATGCTCTCTTGAAAAGTCACACTTATTCAAGGAAGAGTGAGATATGTTTCAGAGCTCTGGTTTCTTCCCTTGGCTCCAGGCTTCCAGTGCAAGTTTGGACAAAGAATAGAGACTCTCCGGGTGTGAATTTATCATCAGACAAAGACACCAATGTGTCCTTTCTTCCTTCCCTTTCCTTCCTTGACTTTTTGATTTTAGCTGTTTCCAGGTACACAGGTCTCTTACCACAGCAGCTGGCACAACAGGGATGTAAACTCCATTGAGTTCTACAGGTGTTTCCTTAATTCAACTAACACAATTTAATTACAGGATGCCTATTTGTAGATAGTACTCAATCATGGGAACACAATCAGCATTCATGTTTTTGCAGCCGTGGACTATTATTTATATTATAATAGTTCCCTGAGAACCTAACAAGCATTGGTTTTCTGGTGTTTGCTGTGCATGTCTGAATTCCAGTTGTGAGTCTGCAGATTCTCGTTAATACATGGTATTACATAAAGTGTTAATTACCTGACTTGTCTACTGCAGAATGAAGATGAGAAGATGAGGTTTTAATAAAATAATGCGTGTGGTAGTAGTTAACTGATTTTCTGCTTAAGAAAGTACTGCAGATTTTTTAGTAAAGTTTTATGATTTATAGCTGAAGTTTGAGATTTGTGGCTAAATCATGACTGTTTCTGCATAGGAGGCAGAGGATTCATTTAACTTGGCCTTTACTGCATCCACCTTCTTGCATTCTTAGTAAACAGAGACCGTTAACTCTGCGGTCAGATGCTGGGTATCCTGTAGGGCTCACATATCTGGTATTTCCCAGCTGAGCTGTTCTGGCTTGTGGATAGTTTATATTCCCACCTGCAAAAATGTACAGGAGAATCTGCTACGTGCACTCCAGGGGTGGTGTGCCTTCCTTATGCTCACATTATACTGTGGCCTGAAGCCACGTTCAAGCTTCTGTGTAGAAAGCACAGTCTGTTTCTATTTGTCTGCAATGCACTGCAAGAACCTACAGCTCTGTTTGGGTAATAAATCATAATGCAACACTACTGCAAATAAAGCATAAATGATATGTTTGGAATGTGTAAAGTCAGAGTGGTGGGAGCCAAAAGGAGAACCAGATCACTCCCACTCAGAGACTTGTCTTTGCTTCTTAAGGTACAGTAAAGTAAAACTGTCCTGCATCTAACAACTAGAGATGTTAGATACATACACACAAAGGCTTGCAGAAACAGGTTTTATGGGTGGTAAAACGTGTGGAGTGCTGAACCTGTTGTCTCTGTGACAGCTCCCCAGAGATGGTTCAGCGAATGTGAGTCCAGTGACAAACACAAACTAAGATCTAAGCAAAAACACTTGGGAGAAATTAGCGAAGTTACTTAATAGTACTGAACATAACGTGAAGGTGACCTTTCCTTTCATAAGGAGATTGGTTACAAACTAAGTTAAACTGTTTATCCTGGAGTAATGTAAACTGTACCTCAGGCTGATAGCACAATACTGGAGCTGCTGGCAGGTAGCAGAAGCCAGAGAAGTTAGGATCATCCAACAATCCCACTACGTAATTTGGAATTAATTTACTTTTTTTTCTATGCCACTTGTATTTACACCCTCTCCCTGAAGACTGTGTACCTGTGGCTCAAGGCCATTGAATTCCGCTGCCTTCAATGAGGTTAGCTTGCTTTACATCAGTATTGACTTTGGTCCAAAGGCCCCAGCTGCATTCCTGGATTGGAAATATACTTTCCCTCATGGCTGTGAGAGAGAGCCTCTGGGAAAGCAGCTTTAAGAGGCCTAGAGTTTTAATTTTAGATGAAAGCAGAAAGGCACCAGGCAGTGAGGATGCATTTGCTTATGGTCGTTCAGTCAAGTGATAAGAAGACAAAGGAATGCATGGTTTGTGGAAGTGTACATATCTGGAGCTGGATCAGAGCAGAGGAAAGCACTAGTACAATTAGCAGTGTCAACACTATCGTATTTTTAGTGCCAGCAACCACTGGTGCAACAAACACTTCCCCTTGTAAACTGAGAGATGCATATGCCAGTCCAAATATAAAACATCAGTAAAAATCAGAATATTCTCAAAGGACTTATGAAAAGTAATGAAAACATACTGTAAGCACTAGCCTGCAAGCCTCAGATCAAAGCAAGAGTTAGGTCTACCAGAAAAAAAGAGTATTTCCCCCCTCAAATGAATCAGGGTTCTGAATTGAAATAGAGAGTTTTCTCTTTCTGCATTTCTGCTGACCCATTTTGTTATGTGGGTTAGGCTTTGCCTGCAGGGACACACCGTATAATGCAAGTCACTGGGCAAACTCGCCAAATCAGGCTTGAACTCTCAGAACATGAACAGCAGAGAGAAAAGGTTTAGGATTTTGCTCCAAAACAGATACAAATTTTTAAATTCTACAAGCAATCCACCATTGGAAAGAAAAATTGAGCTTACCACTGTCTACGCATGTTACTTAACTTACAACTAGGACCGATTTTGGTGTTTGATTCAGTAGTTGGCAGATTAGGAAAAGAAAGTCATACCGCCTTTTTTTTCTCCCAGACCCGGGATCTTACACTAATCATTTGGGACTTACATGCCACATATTTTACAAAATGTGGGTGCTATGCCTGGGCACATTTTTGATACAACTATATTTTGGCTTACACCCTCTATACTAAAATATATCTGACATCAGGAACAGAGATGTTGCCTAAGCTCCAAAGAATTTATCTTTTTGGCAATTACATTGCTAAAAACAATTTTTAGGTAAAATTTGAGTGTTTTTAGTTACTTTTGATTATTGTGGAAAGTCACACTCATTTTCAGAGAAAGCGTCTTCGAATATTTTACTGACTAGATTATTTTTATTGCAAAAAGCACAACTCAACTAGTTACCTTTTTATAAATAAATGCATATGATAAGGTTGCATGGTATTTTATAATGATAATTGATAAATGGTGATGATTTAATTGCACTTCCTCTAGTAATAATCTTAAAATGCTCAAATGATGTTGCTATGATTGGCTTTCTTCTGAGTTAAATCTCCCTGGAGTCTTCAGTCATCCGTTTTCTACATCCAGTGATCACTTGCTTTAGCTGTTTTAAATAATACAAATCAATTATAACACACAGCTGTTTAACAGAACTTCTAAATGTTGCCATAGGTCTCTGTGGGTATTTCCTGATGGCTTATAATGACATCAATTTAGCACACCTGGTAAGTTCAGTGTGAGCTGGAAGTAGCTTAATTCTGCAATGACAGGAAAATTAAGGAGTATTTATGGATTACTGTTGCATTTCAGAACCATTGCCAGTCGTGATTTTAGCTTCTTTTTATGAAAAGTCAGAATTGGAATTGCAGACATTGCATGTCAGTCTTCTGAATAGTTTACTTGTAACTTGGTGAGTGCTTTTGAGGATATCCTGTATTTGTTATTTCTCTCTATGCATTCTACACAAAAGAATGTCTTTTCACCTTTTTGAATTAATGGATGCTAGAAGTCTGCTCTTTTCAAGAAGCTCCCTTCCAAGCGTTTCCTGAATTGCGGACAAAGAAAGCTTTTCTCAGTTGTCCCTCAGTTGGATTTTCACATTAGGCTTGATATAGGGTGGAATCTCAGCCCTGCATCCCCTGTACCACTATGCTGAGTAGCCTTCCAGGCTCCTCAGGCTGCCAGCCCTGGTGTTTTTCCTCACTGCATTGCTTTTTAAAAGTACTTATTAAGCCAGTTATAAGTCAGCCTTAAGAACAAATAAGAGATGTAGATGTTTGTAAAAGAGAGGGGGGAGAAAAAGACTGATATGTCAGACTGAGAGAAGTAGCAATTAGGATGAATGTAAAAATAACACTAAGGGTCCTGGAGAGATTTCAGTTAGTAGTGGAAAACAAAAACAAGGCACATTCTCCAAAAACTCAGTCAAATGTATCCAGCTAAAAGGAAGTTATGGTAAAAGGGAAGAAAAATCTAGACAGAAGAATGATGAAGTAAGTCATCGCGATAATGGATGGCAGCAAGAGACACACATTTTTCTCTCACCTGTACTCTGATATTCAGCAGAGAAGTCTGGTACAGTTTTAGGTAAATACATAATGGCATTGTATAAAACAGCTCAAACATAATGCTCCTTCTTTGTGTAATTGAAGAACAGATCCACCACGTTAATATCCAGGTATAATATACCAGAGGCACAGTTAAGTTGGCAGCAGCCCAAAAGTGCCATGGTCAAATGCTAAATGATTAGACAATTTGAAAGGAAGAAATGACGAGAATAGAAAAAAGGTTCAAAAACATAGAGAGTAGAGAACAGAAATGAAACAAAGGCGGAGAAATCTTCCTGATTATAAAGGTGAACATATTTTACCACATGTTAGTATGATTTAACAATGAGGAATTTAAAAAACAAGGATGACTAAAGTTTAGTTAAACTGTAAAGGCCACATTTTGCCTTTTATCATTTTGGAAATCTCTCCCAAGATGAATGGGAGATGTGAAGCAGCAGAAGATGACTATATAGTTATAGCCAGAACTTCTGTCTTCAGACTACATGATATTAGGTCCTTGCTGCAGAAGTTGGAAATACAGAGGCCATAAGTACCTGAGAATATCAGATTTTGTCCTCTAATTTTTAGAAACCTGCTTTTCAAAATTATGGCCTGGTAATCATGAAGATTTAAGAGCATAATAACTTCGCCAGATACTATGTACACACTTCCATATAAGTTGTAT